GGATTACCTCCTCTGAGCTGGGTGAGGTGGGACAAGGCCTGGAGCAGTGGTAAGGATGGTGACCCAAAAGCCCTTTCCTGTGGGCTGGGAGCAGCCAGAGGGATGGTGGCTGGGAAACTCCTTCCTGTGGACCAGGAGCAGTGGGATGGTGGCTCAGAAGCCCCTCCCTCTGGGCCGGGAGCAGTGGGAGGGATGGTGGCCCGGAAGCCCCTTCCTCTGTGCCAGGAGCAGTGGGACAGAAGGTTGCCCAAAAGCCCTTTCCTCTGGGCTGGGAGCAGCGGGAGGGATGGTGACCGGGACACCCCTTCCTCTGGACCAGGAGCAGTGGAATGACGGCTCAGAAGTCCCTACCTCTGGGCCGGGAACAGTGGGACTCAGTACCTTGATCTGGTGGTCTTGTGTCCTCTGTGCCTTTGTAATGTGGAATCAGGTGGCTGCCTGTCTGCAGTGGGGTGATTTGGTGTCTTCCGCATGACTCAGGACCTCGGTAGGGCGTGCACAGACCTACCTGTCTGCCTAAAGTTCCCTATTTGGCAGTGGTGCCCAGGACTGGCCCTGCCACTCTCTATCACTGAGGTCATTACAGTCTTTGGGAGAGTGTCTTTCCAATGTTATATTACTAAGTGAACTTCCACTATTTTAAATAACACATCTATAGTTCTCTTTATTGAGTTACTGAGTAGTTTCCACTAAATTTCTTTTATAGCCATTAGGGACTTTGCTCTCTAATACACTGCCACCTTCTTCCTACTATCCTTTGTTCTTCTAATATAATTATTTCACAATTTGAGGCTAAATCAACAGTCTGTATTTATACTATTCATGACTATGGAAATATTGTTCACAGTTGAGCCAGGTAGCTCACCATGATTTTTTATTTTATTTCATTTCTCATATATTGTTTTTTCTTGAAGTTTATGATTTCCTGATATTTTTATTTGCTGTTTCAGGTCAACCAATTACTCTCCATCACCACCACCAAATCTTCCCACTGATCACTTACCAATAATCTTTAAAACATTCTTAATTTTAAAATTTAAAATATTTTAAATTTTAAAACATTTATAGCAGAGCTAGGAATGTAGCTCAGTGGCAAGCCTAGCATTTGAGAGGGCCTGAGTATGATCTCCAGCACCAAAAAAAAAAAAAAATTTTTATCAAATAGCCTATCAGTCCGTGGTCTTTTCACCCCATGGTTCTCCTCCCATTCCCATCTAAACCCAGATTAGATATAGGCTGTTACTCCCCAGGCTTTCTTTTTGCTATCTTCCTACACTGATGACCCCAAGACCCCATGTTAGGTAAATGTCAGACATGTGTTTTGAACCCAAATTTATCTACATCAAAAATCTGTGCCCTAACTGCAATGATATTGGGCTTCTATATGCTAAGCCTTCTAAAAAGTGGATATAAAATTGACATGGGAGGAATCAGACATGAAGTAGTTACTATTGGTAATTTTATTGCTTTTGAACTCTGCATTTAGGCTTATTCTGAAAACAGACAACAGTTCTCAAAGTGCTGGAATTTCCCCTTCACAACTGGAATAAACAGAATTTAAACAGGAAACTTTTTTAACATCACACACTTATCCTTATAAATTTGTTGCCACTTTGGGAATCCTTCTTTCCTGCTATGAGATTTTGTTTAGGACCAGCATCTGGTAGCTGTGGTTTTTTGTGTTTTATTTTGTGTTGTTGTCTTTCTTCCTGATTTATTTATTTTCTCTAATTTTCTCTGAGATCTGGGAAGACTCTCAGTGGGAATATAGCCTCTCAACCACACCGAGAGTGGATCTTCTATGTGAACCATATACCCACTTTTATCCCTGAACATACACACACACTTTTCAGCCTCAACACTGTTGAAGACAAAGAACAGTCTGGTCAGTGTCACAAGATGAGTCTTATCAACCTGTTTGGACTGGACTTGTGAGATTGGGAGGGGAAGAAGAGAAAGGAGGAGGTTTAAAACAAGTATTTCTGAGAGCTATTTTGAATCTTCTTTTCAGTACTTCATGGATTCCACAAACATAGCACACATAGCCTGGTGAAGCCAAACTTAAAACCATATTTCAGCATCTACCAATGCAAAACCAAGACATCCCCAGAGGATACAAATCTTTCAGAAGCAAAGTCCCATTGAAGCAATTCTGAGGTGGTCCAGCAACGTGGCTCTTTCCCTCCTACTTTCTCTATTTCTCTTTTTTCCTTTTCCTTTTTCCTCCATTCATATTCTCTCTGCACCCCATCTGTCTCCCTTTGTTTTTCTAAGGTGTTCCTTCCCTTAAAAAAAGAAAAGAAAAGAAAATTAATTACCATCACTTTCTTGCTTATCTGTTTGTGCAGAGCTCCGGGACTTCCCTGAATAGTTTCTTATGGCTTTTCTGTTTAGCTCAACTGCAGTATACAGAAGTAATACAATCATATCTCAGCTTCATGTGGTCTCAGAAGCTGACAAGCAGAACAACCTCTGCTTTGTTTGTGTTTACTTAACGGTATTATGTGAGCCACGTTGGGTCGCTGTCCTAGGTTCCTCCCACAGGTCAGAGCAGAGCAGAGAAGGAGCCAGGCTCCATATTTTCTCCTCCCATCCCATTCTCTCTCTCACTCTCTCTCTCTCTCTCTCTCTCTCTCTCACACACACACACACACATGCACACACACACACACACACACACATATAAGGGGGCAATAATCAACCTCAGAAAGAACCTCAGAGAACAGGAGGTTCACACAAGGAAAGCAATGTTGTGGCGAGGACATATTTGCTAGGTGTGTCACCTATATGACTACACACACTTATATGATTTTCATACGACTTTTGGAACATATATTGTTGTCCCATTTTCTATATAGAAAACAGGTCACTATAGCAGTAGACTCAGACTTCTCTTTAAGCAGTAGACTCAGACCTAGAATTGAATCCTTTTCTGTTTGATCCTCAAACCTACTTGTAGTCTATTATGTTTCTATCTACAATGGGGAGCAGAGATTCTTAATATCTTTTTTCAACAAAGAACCTAGGAGGTATTACAGGCAGTAATGGAGGATAAATCATTGCCCCAAACTGAAACACAACATGGTTAAGTTAGGTCATAAGAGTTTAGCATATCTTTAGCCACACTCTAACCAGGAACACATGCCTGGCCATTGGAGCCAATAAGGTATGTTGAAAATGCTTGGAAAACAATAAGAATTCAATACGACAACTTACTGCTTGATGTCATCATCGCTGGAATGACAATAATGAAGTTTTTTCTAAAAATGCAGGCAGGACAACGTGGAAGGAGTTAAGAGTATATTAGAAAAGGAAAGAAGGGAAAGGAACAAATATGAGAAAAGGAAAAAATGGAAACAAAGTCTTTGTAAATAGGGAGGGGTGGAGGGGTTGAAGTGAGGGTAGGGGAATGGGGAAAAAGTAAGAACCAAGATATATTATGTTAAGGTACAAATTCCCAAGGATGAATGTCAGCATATTGTGTACCTAAAATGTACCAATAAAATTAATAAATAAAAAAAGAATAACTGGGTCAAATGGAAAACAAGAATACATTAGAAATGGAAGAGTAAACCCCAAGCAATTCTTGAGTGCCTACAAATGCTTTTTTAAGTATATCGTGGACAGATCCACTGACCATATAGATTAGGTTTTTCAGGACAATTCCAATCCCATGTATCCTCTTTAACAAAAGAAAACCAATTACAAGTCCTAGATGTTCTAAAACTTTGGCATCTCAGTCACATTGAAGAATACCAAATAGTTTCTCTGGTGTGAAAAATTAAAAGTGTAAGTAAGGATCAAAATGTATAATTGATATTGGGTAATAGGAAGAAGAGATCTAAAGGAGTAGGGGAAGTGGGAGGGGTAGGGAAAAGAAAAGAAGGGAAAAGAAACAATATGAGAAAAGGAAAAAATGGAAACAAAGTCTTTAGAAATAGGGAAAGGTGGAGGGGATGAAGTGAGGGCAGGGGAATGGGGAAAAAATAAGAACCAAGATACGTCATGTAAAGGCACAAGATCCCAATGATGAATGTAACTGTATTGTATACCTAAAATGTACCAATAAACTTAATGGGGAAATAAAAGAATACATTAGCTAACGTGTTCCATGCCCTCTAGCTCAGTGCAGCCATTCATTGTCTCATCTGTTCCTTGCAACAACCCGTGCTATTGATGATATTGTCAACAGTACCTGGCACACCGAGGTGATCAATAAGTATCTGTTGAATGGATCATCATCCCTGTTTTCTGGACTGGGAAACCAGCTCACAGAGAGGCTTCACATGTCCAGTGGCACACACTGCTGAGGGCTTGAGCGAGTATGTGAGCCCAGGAGACCTGCTGTTGCCGCTTACTTGCCGGTCCACTGCCCTGCACAGCTTGCATGTGGCTGCCTCATTCTGCTCCTTCCCCATAAAGTTCTTTTCTCCCATAAGGCTCCTTTCCCACCCAAAACTGGCATCAAATTGAATCACAAGTTCCAATGCCTAATTTGAATGAAATGGCCAAGCTATGTGTAAAGATTAGCAGAAGGACCTTGTGCAGCTCCTGTAAAGAGAATCATGCAGGAGCTGAAGAAGCACTAAAGGGGTGAGTCCTAGTTCCCAGAGAGAAGACAATAAGTTCACTGAGAATGCTGAAAACAGCCAGCTTATAGGTATCACTGTTGGGAGACCCCGAGAGTGGCTCCAGTCCAGTCTGGGCCTTAAGAAGGCCTAAGTAGGGAATTTGTAACTAGAGGAAGAACACTACCCCAGCTCTGGAAGTGTCAAGGTCCTAGTCATGAGCAAATGTGTCCAGGAACCATAACAGGTTTTAGCTATAGTAGGTATAGCAAGCCCCTATGTGCTTGTAATTTGATTTACATTGAATCATTTATTCATCTCAACCATTTGATCAATGGTGTGAACCCCATTTTGCAAATGAGGAAACTGATGTATTGGAGGCTAAAACCAAGGTCACATAGTCAGCATACAGATAGGAAAAAAAATTCATGTTATGGGTAGCCCTGAAGAATGAAAGTTTGTTGAAAAAGTCATGCTTAGGAGTTTCATCATGAGAGAAAGTAAGGCAGGAGGGCTCCCCACTCCTTCCCTTCATAACAGTAGAGGGTGAAGGCTATGTATATAAGCATCTGTATTTTTTAATGCACGCTAATTGAGCCGCCTGGTTCTCCTCCACCGTCTGACTCCCAGACTCCCTGTTATCCTCCCCATCCACCCTCAAGAGCTAGTCACTATAGCAGCCCAGAGCTCCAAAGCATCCCTAAGCTCACCAAAGGCAGGAGAGATGATCTTGCACTCTATCCCTCCACATCAAGGTGGCTCTAAAAGAGGGTGCCAAGCAGTAATTCATGCCATAAGTACTTATTAAGTACCTACTGTGCACATTTCTAGACATCATAGTACATCAGTGAACAAAGCAGACAAAAAAGAAAAAAAAATCCCTGCCTTCATGGAGATTTTGTTCTGCCAGGGAGGCTTCCAGGGCTCTGATCAGTCCACTCACCTTAAAGAAAAGTCAATCCCAATCTGCCAAGGAGCCCAGAGATAAGGAGGGAAATCTTACACTGAACCTCGGGCTCCTGCGCTCCTCAGGTGGGACCTGTGATCTCATCAGCCTTTTGTTCCAACAATGAAAGACAACAGGGGTGGCTACTCCCCAGTCAACCCTGCTCCAGCATCTCTGCCTCCCTGTCCTTGGACCTTGCACCTGAGCCCTTGCCTCTTCATTGGTTTGCACCATAAATGTGTGATGCCAGTCTAAGAAAAGCACTCAGCCCAACCCACTCTGCCTTGCATCCATAACAACCTTATCAAAGGGTTTTTTTCTGAGCACGGAGAACAGAGAGCCCTCCAGGTTTTGATTCATAGCAGGTGAAGGCTGGATGTGCTGAAAGCTGATTGAAATCAGCGAGGTCAACAAAATACAGCTGAAAGTGCACAATAATTGGAAGAGAAGCCTCGCTTCCTTGTTTTTTTGTGATCCCCTGCACTTTCTAGATCTCACTTCTAAAGGGAAGTCTTTGTCTTACATACTTTATTGCATTGGTGTGTGCTTTATTTTTATAAACTTGGGATTTTGCTGACCCACAATTTCCTCTCTCTTTGTCCTATAACCATCTAGATATGTTGATGGGGATGGGAGCAGGAAAGTAAAAAGATTTTAGGAACCTCTGGTTTTTTCATGTCTGGAAGGAACCTCCCCCCTTGTGCTTGCATGCACCTGCACACTTGTGCATAAGTGTGCCCTTCCATTTTGTTTCATGAGAGGAAATTCTGCCCTCTAGCCTCACAGCCCTTTGATGCTGTCAGGAGTGCTATTTTACTAAGGAATTCTAACTAATTCAAGGGCAAGTGACTGCATTCTAACCAAAGTCTGAATGTCTGAATTCTCTTTCTCTCTCTCTCTCTCTGTCTCTGTCTCTGCCCTGTGCGTGTGTGTGTGTGTGTGTGTGTGTGTGCGTGTGTGTGTGTCCACTTCCTCTTGCTCTCCCTTTACAGAGGTTCTGCCTGACAGAAAGTCCTCTTAGGGTAGGGGCATTGTTCAGCACTGCCCATGCATCCAGAGGACTTAGCCCAGAGCAAAGCACACTGTTAGGAACCAGTACATGTCCATTGAATGAAAAAATGCTTAGCTGAAAGAGTGAAGCTGCTGTCTCCTGGGCATCTTGTCTGCAGGGAGAGAGAAGTCTGTCAGTGAGCATTGCCCTTCCTAGGGAAAGAGAAAATCATCATGTGTCCACTGCCTGAAGAGAGACTGGGGCTGGCCCTGAGCCTTGGAGCAAACCAGTGAGATAGCAAGGAGTCCAATGACAAGTGGCATTCTTCAAATTTCCATATCAGGGAGGACCTCTGCCAACTGAGGTTTATATATTTGAAGGTGGTGTTGTGTAGGGTCTCCACTAGGCTGGCCCAGGGAATTTTATTCCCTGGATTTGATTTTATCAGAAAGAACTCAGTGCTCCACTTTCCATGTTAACGATCACCATCCTTTCTCATTCTCTGCTCAAAGAAATCCGCCGTTTCATTTGAGTCCCTCCGCATTAGGGAAGGCATAGTTTCTTAATTTTTGTCACACAGTAGAGTGAGGGAAGTCCTCACAACTGCCACCTACATCTGGAGAATATTATCCATAATCACCAGAAATGTATTTCTTCTTGGATTGGATTCACTTTCTGCTGGCTTCAAAGGGTCCCCAAGGCACCTGCTGGCACCCATGAAGGGGAAGAGGAGACTTTGTCATGGCAGAATTCTCACTTTCCCGTGTACAGGTGCAGAAGTTTGTGCAGTCAGTTAACAACATTAGCAAAGTCGGTGGCCACTCCTATGCTCCTGTGGGTCATTGTAACAGCCTCTAATGAGTCTCTCTCTGTGCCTGCTTACCTTCACTGTGCTGCCCCAGAAACCCTCCTGAGAAATAAATATGACAAATAATAACAAGAGGTAGCAAGGATCGCAGAAATCAGAATCCTTATATATTGCTGGCGGGAGTGTAAAATGATGCATCTCTTCTGGAAAAGTTTCTCAAAAGATTAAACAGTGTTACTGTATGATCCAGCATTTCCTCTCCTAGGTGCATACCCAAAAGGATGAAAGCCTATCTCCACACCAAAGCTTGCACAGGAATGGTCATCGCAACATTATTCATAATGGCCAAAAGGTGGAAACAAACCAAATACTCACCATCTAACAAATGGGAAAACAAAATGTGGCCATCCATGTAATGGAATATTATTCAGCAATAAAAAGAATGAAGCACCAATACATGTTAGAGCATGAAGAGACACTGAAAGCACTGTGTCACCTGAGAGAAGGCAGTCACAAGAGCCCACACTGTGTGATTCTGTTTATGTGAAATGTCCAGAACAGGCAAAGCTAGAGAAAAAGAGAAAGTAGATTAGTGGTTATTCAGGGTTGATGAGAGATTTGGGGAAGAGGGATATTTTTACTGCTAAAGAGCATGAAGTTTCTTTGGGGGTGATGAAAATGTTCTAAAAATTGATCATGGTGATGGTTGAGCAATTCAATGAGTACACTGAAAACCACTGAAGAGTATATTTTAAAATAGCTAGATTGTGATTATGTCTCAGTGAAACTGGTACCTCCTCCCCAAAGCAGAAAAAATCAAACATCCTCATTCCTTTACCGAAAAATTTCTTCTGAATTCCCATCGCCCCAAAATAACACCCAGCCTCCCTAAGCTGCCACAACCTTGACAATCCAGCCACACCCTACTTTTCAGCCTCATCTCTCACTCTTCCTGACAAATGATGAGTTTTGGTGCCTCTCCTCTTCTAGCACACACCATGCCAGCACTGCTACAGGACTCCAGCCCTTCACACAGCTCCATGAGGCTGGGCTGGCTCTGGACACCTGTCCCTTCTCCACCTGACAAGAGCTGGCTCATTCTGCAGGACAAGATGAACATCACCTCCTCTATGCAGTCTATGGTGTCCCAGGGGCAGCTTCTTTCCCTCTGGGCTGCCGTACTTTCTGTTTATAGTCTATTCCTGTTATCACATTTTATTTTAATTACCTGTCTACATAGTACCTTCCCCCCTACCCAGACCATAGGCACTTGAAGGACTGCATCTAGGCCTTATTTATCTTTGTGTCCTCTCTACGCCACTCCTACCACATGCCACTAAATACACAGAGAGGGAGAGAGAGACCTACAGGCACAGCTGGTGTCCAACTCAGAAAGAATAGTTAGTGAACTGGGTGTAGTAGCACACACCTATAATCCTAGCACTCTGGGAGGCTGAAGCAGGAGAATTGCAAGTTCAAGCCCAGCCTGGGCAACTTGGCAATTTAGCAAGACCTTGTCTCAAAATAAAAAATTAAAAGGGGTGGGGATGTAGCTCAGTGTGAAGCCTTGTGTTCGCTCTTCAGTACAAAAAGAAAAAAAAATAGTGAATGTGAAGAAGAAAAGGGGGGTATTCTTGCTCATTTGTACAGTATGAACTGCAAATAATACTATCTTGATAGTCTACAAAATAACTCTCCCATTGTAGTGCACCTCCACCCGAACCTGAGCTCCATCAGAATGTCACATGAATTTATTTAGTCTACCACACAAGTCACCTAGAGTCCTGAGATGGAAATATACTTTTCAAAGGATATATATTACAGCACGTACCATCGCAAAATACCATAGCATAAAACTAGACTCTTCATTGCCCTCCCCCAGTGACAATCATTTTAGTCACTCATGTTTTATTACAGTGGGGGGTATTTTGCCCCTATTGCTTCTTCATCTTCTCCACTCTTGTCTCTGAATCCGATCAATCCCCAAATCCTGCAGGTCCCTCTTTCTTACCCTGCCTCACATCCTTTCCTTCTGGCTCTTTACTTCAGTGTGTAGCTGTAGGCCCTCAGTATCTCAGGACTAGGTCTCTGCAGTGAGGCCTTTCCTCTGCAAATCTTCCTACCACCTTTCCCTCTTCTGATGGGCCATTCAGACCTCTCAAGTTAGTCCTTCTATTATCACAGTTCACAATCGACATAACATAGCAGCTTTCGTACAGTTATGGAATCTTAAAGGCTGGAAAATTCATGTGGGTCTTTAATTCAAAACCACTATCTATTCCCATCCTCTCCTGTATCAGTCTCTCATTTCCTATGTTAATCAAGAAGTTAGAAACCCACTCTATCCACACTGCCATTTCATTGTTGCCCCATGGTTAAAAGATCTTAGGTTGAGGGCTCTCTTCTGATCATTTCCACCCATTGTTTCTAATCATCCATTTTTACTTTCTACCACCTCTTTCATCACTTTGTTCTACTTCTCTAATAACCCAGAGACTCTGTTTGTCCTCAGATTCCACCCTACCTGTCCTCCGTGCCTCCAGGCATCAACTGGATGAGGCTGGGTGGGGGAGGGGGGGGTGATTTTAGAAAAAATTGTCTTTTATGCCCAAAAGGGAAGGACACTGGCTTGTGATCTTTCTCTTTCTGAAGATGTGGAGTGCGTGTGTGTGTGTGTGCGTGTGTGTTGTATATTCTATAGATCTCAGTTCAGCTGGGTTCAGTTTTCCATGTTCACCTAGTGGTTCTGGGGAACAAAATCATGCATAAGCAAAACACAAAATTTGCAGTATGCTCAAATTGTTCATCATTACATCAATCACACTCGAACAAATTTGCGTTTAATCAGGCAATGCTCTTCTAGTCATTTACTACTGCACACACAAGTGTGTGCACGCACACACACACTGTATGTGAAGAGCAAAGTTTAAAAATGGACCCATTGATTAACACTCAAATAATGAAAAGTTGAGGTGGGTGTTGCTTCACTATCAATTACATTTGCAATTGCAACACTCTAAATCAGCAGTTCTTCACTGAGGGCATTTACCCCCAGCCTAAATTTTGGCTCCACAAATACAGGAAGTTCTATTGGCATCTAGCAGCCAAGTATCTTGCTAAACATTGACAATGTTCAGAATGCTCCTACAAAAAAGAATTATGCAGCCCAAATTAGAGTAGGTTGAGAAAGCCTGGTATAAATCTACTCCTCTATTTTTCTGTCTCCTGGCCTGCACAGATTTGAAATGAGGTGGGCCCAGCCAGAGTGCTAGGAGGCTGCTAGAAAGACCACCTACCTACTCCTAGGGGACCGGAGCTTGTGGTGTGACCTCCCATCTTGCTCTGACCTCAGTGCCCCAGGCAGACCCATTGAGATAATTAGGTCCAAAAAATAGGCACTTTGCTGACTAGCAGCTGCTGTGTCTGGGCTGTTTCCCCTGGATGTGGGGGTGGAGAGGGCAATAAAGAAAACAAAGGCAGGAAAATAAACTTCAGCGTTGGGAGCTGGGGTTGGAGTGGGAGGGTAGGGAGGTCCAGGCAAGTAAGTGCAGAAGAGGTTGCATCATTGCACATTTAGGGGCTGCTCACTGGGCCTACAGAGCTCTTCCCTTCCCTCGGATATGAGAGAAATAATTCTACTTACAGCGCACTCCTTACAGCTTAGTAAAACCTAACAGTTTACAAAGTGTTCTGCATTTGTTACCTCATTTCATTCTCACAACCACCCAGTGACATAGAGAAGCCAGTTATGATTGTCCTGTTTATAGAGGGGAAACTTGAGTATCAGAGAGACTCAAGATCACATAACTGAAGTCCTTAGAGGGTTAAAAGAAGGGGGAGAGGTGGGGGGGGGAGATGAATGAGGTGGGGAATGTGGAGCTAAGAGAAAGTCTTTAAACAACATGCTCCATAAATGCTTATTTATTTATTCTTATTTGTCTTTAAGAAGATGAAATCTACATTAAGAAAATGAGGAGGGCATTGCCTTAATGTAGTGCAATGAGAAGAACTGTAGACTACAAATCCCAAGTTCCAGTTACATACCTAAAATGTACCAATAAAATTAATTTTAAAAAATTTAAAAATCCAAAGTTCCAAAGGCCCAGGGTGTACCCCACATCCTCCATACCTATCCAGACTGCCTCACCTTGCTAGCCTGGGCTCCTCTGAGATGAGAAGTTTGAATTTTACGTCTCTGGAGCTCCTTTCAATTCTTGAGTCTCTGATCTCCTACTTTTCCTACTTCCTAGGCTGCTCAGTTCCACATTGGCCTTTGAGCCTGCAGCCGCCAGGCATCGGCAGTAGGGTTACAGCTTACGTGGATATTTGTAGTCAGCACTTGTGTCCTTCCAAAGTCTATTACAGGCCCCACTTTTCCATCCTTGGCCCAACTGATTGAGAAAGATAGGGCTTAACACATCCTTTACCTTCTGATAAGACAGGAACACAGTCACAGAAAGACCATTAGGCCAGGAATCAAGAGGCTGCTCTCTCCCCAGCCTGGGGCTCCTCCCCACTTAGAATTCTCAAAGGGCTGCAATATGCAGTTGGAATAGCATCAGCTCTCCTCATTGGACCCATAAAGTGCCACGGGCCAGCACCTGTCTATCTTTCTGACTTTATCACTCCCTTCTTAATCACTATAGAGGCTCTTTGTTTCTTCAACACAACCAAGCTTTCTTCCTCTAGAGCCTTGCTTAACAGCTTTTTCCCCAAGTACAGCAGCTCTCTTTATCTGCAGGTTCCACATCCAGATTCAACCAACCATGGACTGAATGTTTAAAAAATTGCACCTGTCCTAATCATGTACAGGATGTTTTTCCTTGTCATTATTCCTAAACAATACAGTATGACAACTGTTTACATAGCATTTGAATTATCTAGTGATGATGGAAAGTATATGGAAGGATGTGCATTGATTATATGCAAGTACTATTAGACAGGAGATTAGGGTATGGCAAACTGGCTGGGCAAGTGGGTATGGCCTGCCAATCTCAGAGTTATAGAACACATGCACAGAACAGTTCCCAAAGCCCTACACCTGGAGCCAATCAGAGAATGCTATCTAGCAAGTTTTCAATAGGGCAGCCTGGACCTAACATCACCCTGAGGCATGAGAGATACAAAGGATGGCCACCAGCAAGTGAAGAGCCATTGTTAACTCTTTTGGTGGCCCACAATGTGTTTTGCAGTGTGTATTCCTTTTCTTATCTTTATTTGGCTCACACTTGCTGTATAGAGTGTTTTTTTCCTACCTTTAGTAAATGTAAAACTTGGCTACCTTTTGTGCTTGTCTTGACCAATTCTTTGTTTGGGACAGAAAGAACCTAGAAATTACCCCTAGAAGAAGACTCTGGCACCCCCAAATATGGTAATACTATGATGTTTTATATAAGGGTTAGAGTGTCTGTTGATATGAATATCCATGGGGGTCCTACAACCAATCACCAAGAGATGACTGCAATTACATGGTAGCTCCTTCCCATCCTTGGGGTTTCTGATCAAACATCACCTTCTCAGAGAGCCTTTCATGACCACTCTGCCTGGAGCACTCACCATGGCCCCACTCTTCATTCAAAAATGTTAGGAAGGGAGACACCTGAGATTTTCTCTCAAGTGAAGAAGCCACCATTAGTGTCACACAATCTCTCCCCAGCCTTTCTTGGTCCCTTTAAAGGTGAGGGGTAACTTCTTTATTGGCAACTTTGGAGAAGTTGCTAGAATCCTATCGCTTAACCCCAGCTTCTCTTTGGGGTCTACTTCAGGCAGAAAGCTTATGAGCTGGTCTGAGAAGGAGGTTGTCTAGTGAAAAGGTTTGGCCCTGTGGGGGAGGCCTGTGGTGGATCATCACTGCTGGAGACTGGATATGCAAATATGTTTAATTCCAGGGTTCAGCACCATGAAAGCTATTGTTGCTGCTCTCCTGAGTCACATCCTCCAGTCCAGCTTTGATTAGCCATGGAGCTTGTATTTGGGGCTCCACTGTCTGACTCATGTGTCTGTCTCTCCAGTGGTTCAGGACAAAGGCTTAGAATAGCTTTGTGTCTTTTATTGGGCTCTTCAACTTCCAACATTTACCTTTTCCTGAAAACACTTTTCTTTATTTATTAGTTGATTCATTTGTTTACAGATCTATGCCTGCCCTCACAAACACACACCTCCCCCTCTCCATCTCCTAGAGAATGTAAACTCCTTGAGATTAGAGACTCTGTCTCTTCTGTTCATATATTCCGTATCTAGAGCAGTGTTTGGGTTATGTGTGTGTCAGAAAGTATTCACAGAATAAGTAAAAGACTTCCAGATGTTTTGACACTGCATAGGACCCCAAGACCTTTGCATAAACCTAGGGTAAGAAGTCTTATTCATGACTATCATTAAATGTTCAACTTGCTCAGAATGATGAGAAGCTAAAACTGGATTTAAGTTGATTAAAATAAATTTTTAGAGAATTTCTTATTTACCTGAGTTGTAGATGAGTTCCAGAGCATAGCAAGATTAAATTATTTTCTCGGGATTACAAAGCTAGGCTGGAATTGGCCATCAGCAGAGCTCTAAATTACTTTGATTTTTTTCCCCCATAGTTTTTCCTCTACCTGCAGAGGCCACTTGAGTTCCTGTTTGGGGAGAGGATCACTGAGTACAGTCCTTCTCCCTCCATGTCTATCAGTCTCACTCAGCCATAGGCCCTGAGGCTCTTTATTCTGCTCCCCCTCTCTTGGGCTTGGTGTGGAAGCAGACTCTATCATAGGCACAAAAGCCCCCACAATACCAGCAGGTGAAGTCTGAATGTGCTAGGCCGCAATATCTGGTGGGCTTAGGACCCCATGTGCTCCCCAGGCTTCCACTGGCCCCACTTGTGATGGCTCAGGTGATGATAGACACCTGGTGCAGTTTCTTGTTGGAATCTGGGCCTGAAGAATGAGCTGCTTGGTCAAGGTTCCATCATCTTGCAGAGATCTTGCTGGCTCTCACAGGCCCTCCCTCAAGGACTGTACCCATCCTTGGATCTGCAACAACACAGAGGTTTGGTGGCAAAGTACAGGAGCCTTCCTAAGGCAAGCTCTGGCTCCTGACTGATGTTAGGGGTCTCCATGTCTACAAGCCCCAGCTTAGGACATCAATCTTGGCCTGGAAAGTGGGCCTCACCCTTTCTCCATAGGAAATTCTCTAGGCCTACCCAGTCCACCTACTCGCCTCACCCAGGCTCCCCAACCTGTCCACCAGTCCTACCCCACCATCATGTGGCCCTCCAGGGAGCTGCTCTTTGGGCATGGCCTTCTCCCTTAGGAGCTGGCTGGCCACTCTCCAAGAAGGCCCCCTTTTCCCTGAGCATTCCAGTCATCTGCCTCCACTTCTCTCTCCTCCCCCAGGTCCTTCCTGTAAATTTCACAAACATTGATTTCCTTACTAATGCCCCTTGTCAGGATTGTAAGATGTACAGATACACACACACACACACGCACACACACACATACACACAGAGACATACACACAACCGCAGAAAACAAAATGCGTGCACCTGCTACCACTCCTATAAGTGAATGAAGCAAAAATAGAGAAAAGACAAAGAAAAACAATATGTGGTTTTTGGGCAAAGAATGGCAGTTGCTACTATTTTCAGTCCCTCCCTGACCTTTGCCTTGAGTAGAGAGCTCAGGTAGGCCGCTGAGTGTTACTTAACTGGAATTGAGAGGCCCACAGGGGCTGTTTTCCCCATTAAAGAAAAGAGAAAAGTGTTTTAACTTTTCTACGTTGTGACCTGAAATGAGAAGAAAACTTGAGATCTGCTTAGAATCTCCAGCAGCAGGGCTCCAGCCTCATCTCCTTCCCCCATCCCTCTCCCCAACTCTCTTTTCCCTTGGCTAATAAGTAATCCTGAGGAGGCTTGTGCACTTTGCTTATTGTATTTGGCGCAGAAACACATTCTCGTTATCACCCCCAACCTCAGGCAAATGCTTTCTGATATCCATTTGTATGCCTGAACACATGGAGCAATCGGGCTTAATGTCATTTTCTGGGGAGCTGCACGAAGGTCACTGGGCACAGTGAGAACTTGGCTCCTCTGGGGGTTCTGATGCCAAAGGCCTGGTCAGCTCCTGTCTCCAGCTCAGCAGCCTTCTCCCGGCCACAGTGACAGGCCTCTGGGACACCTAAGCAGTTCTGTGGCTTCATTATGCTCCCCTCCTGGAGTGACTCCCGAATCCACCAATTCCAGAGAACTTGCATGTAGCAGGGCAATTTATTGAGACTTTAATGGAGCAGAATAACCGATTCAGAAATTACCTATGTCTTGTTTTTCTCTGCAGCAGGCTCAACACAAAGGCACGAGAGGTATTTCCTTCCCTCCTCCCAACCCTCCTTCTGTCTCTTCCTCAGGCTTTTGTGTCCTTCAGATCTAAGTTTCTTCACTTGGTTAATAACATTTACCTCTGTTTTGTAGCACAAAAGGGAAGTTGCCAGGTGCCATTATTTTTGTTAAAACTCGGGAACAATCAAACAATTGTATAGGATTGCTGTGTAAGGAGGAGCTTGGTGCCTTATAGTACAGGATTTGGAAAGGAAAGGGCTGCCTGAGGAGGGGACCCTGCCTCTGCTCCTGGAGCGATCAATGGCTGGATCCTCGGGAAGGGGAAGGCAAAGAGGGCCAAGGCCTGCTGTGCACAGAGAGGCAGACACCTGTACCTGGAGTAGGTGGGGCCTCTGTGGAGGGAGGACTCTGGAAGGCTGCTCAGGGGACCTGTGGGCTGTGAGCACTCTGGCCTTGGGCACCTCCACGATGGCTTCCCAAGCCAAGCTTGCACATGTGGCACCAGCTTACCCAAGTGGGGCTGAGCAAGGAGCATGGCCAAGTGACAGCCACAGACTGGGGCCAGCTTGAGGACCCGCCTCCAACTTCAGAGACATGGGAAGGCCAGGATGGTTTGACTAAAAGTAGAGCTCTCTGAAAATATACAAACACTGCCAACCCTGGGAATCTCAAACCAGCTTTAATTTGGTTTAGACAGAGAAATGTTCTGAGTATGTTTTTACCACATGTGTACCACCCGTTTGGAGCAGAGGACTGTTTGTTTGCCTTCAGAGAACTTGGCAGCAGGGAGGTGCTCTGGAGTCAGAGGTCCAGTAGGCTTTCACCAGCTCCTGAAGGCTGGTGAGGGTGCTGTAGGAGGCCATTGGATATTTATCTGGGCCCCTCATCAGTCTGATGGGCCTCACCCAGTTATTGGCTCTCTGCATGCTGCTCCCCAACGTTGTTCTGTTGCTTTCTCTGCTTTGCTGT